TGAGTGTGTCCTTTGTCACTCTTCTACCCTGGCAGGTTCTGTATCCTGGAGACTGCTCTCCACTTGTCTGTCTATTTAACAGGGCATACTGGACCACATTAGACATCATTCTATTTCAGTGTACATAGTTCCACTCTGAATTGTGTTCTGTTACATTGATTGTAGTGTGTGTATGTTGGGGGCCGGAACCCAGGACCTCACACATAGTAGGCATTTGCTCCACTGAACACACATCCTGGCCCCTGATATGTGTCATTTTATTTAGCTCCTCTTCTATGAAGAATTGGGCTCAAGCTGTTTCTCCTTTTCTTGCTGTTTCAGACAATGCGACAGCGAATAATCTTATATATTGTCTTTGGGAACTTGTGAAGTAGAATTGCTGCCATAAAATATTTATTCCTACTGACAATATATAAAAATGCCATTTTCTCCCCATATGCTTAATGGTTCATTATTTTCAAATGTTTTAATCTTTTATCAGTCTAAAGGTTAAAAAATTAAATCTTGGTATGGTTTTATTTTGCATTTATTTTAAGAATGAGTTTCAATAGCTATGTTTTTAAAGGTCATTTGTCTTTTCTCTGTGTGATATTTCTGTTTGCCAGTCATTCTACAGGATTATGAGTTTCTCATTGATTTGGAAGAGCTTTGTGGGTTTAAGGAGATTAGCTTTTTATCTGCAGTATACACTTGAAATGTATTTTCTCAGTGTGTTGCTTTTCATATATATATATTTGTCCTGCTGATTTGTCTATATTTTTTCTGGCCTTTTATTTAAATCTTTTATTTTATAGCTTCTAGGTTTTTGTGTCATGCTTCAGAATGCCTTCCTTACTCCAAGGTTTTAAAAAGCATTTCCAAAGAATGAGGTGGTGGTTTGCAATCCCAGCCTTTGGGAGGCTGAGGCAGGTGGATTGACACAAGTTTGAGACCAATTGAGTTCTAGGCCAACCAAAGTTATGTAGAGCAACCCTATTCTAAAAACAAAAAACAACTGGGAATGGTGGTGCATACCTTTAATCCCAGCACTCAGGAGCAGAGGCTGGCCTATCTCTGAGATCAGGGCCTGCCTGGTCTACATAGCAAGTTCCAGGCTATATGGGGCTACAGAAAACCCGTCTCAAAAAAACTGAAACCAAAACAGCAACAACAGTAACAAAGCAAAAACAGACACAGGACTGGAGAAATGGTTCTGTGAGTAAAGTACTTGCTATGCAAGCATGAGGACCTGAGTTCAGCTCCCCAGAATGCACATAAAAAGCCAGGAATGGAGGGGTATGCCTGTAATCCCAGCACTGGAAAATGGAGACAGGAGAATCCCATGGGTTTGGGGGCCAACCAGTCTACCTAACAGTGAGCTCTAGGTTCATTGAGAAACCCTGTCTCAAAAATAAGGTGGAGGGCTGGTGAGATGGCTCAGGGGGTGAAAGTGCCTCCTGTCAATTCAAATGATCTAAGTACCGATTAGGTAGACTGGTTGGCCCCCAAACCCATGGGATTCTCCTGTCTCCATCTTCCAGTGCTGGGATTACAGGCATGCCGCTCCATTCCAGGACCCACATGGTGAAAGATGAGAACTTATTCTAACAAGTTGTCCTCTGTCAGATTTGGGCCATGGCATGTGAGTGCTGCCCGCACCAAATAAATAAATAAATAATGAAACAAAATTTTTAAAGAAAAAATGGAGAGTGATAGAGGAAGGCACCTGATGTTAACCTCTGGCCTTCACATACATATAACACAGGCACACACAGACACATAGACACACAGACACACATCCTCGCCAAAGAAACAAAACCCCCTCATTTTCTTTTCTTCAAGTACTTTAAAAAATTGTAGTTATTTCTGATCCATTTGGAATTTTCTTTCTTTTTAAAAAGTTTCTTTGTATTATTTTTTAATTATGTGTATGTGCTTGTGTATAACTATGTGCATGTGAGTGCAGGTGGAGGTCAGAGGCATCAGAACCCCCCAGAGCTGGAGTTATAAGTGATTATGAGCTGCCTGATGTGTGTGTTGGGAACTGAACTCAGGTCCTCTACAAGAGCAGTCAGGCAATCAGTGGTCTTAACCACTGAGCAAGCCCCCCTTTCACATATTAAATGTATTACTTAAATAACATTCAATAAAATTCATCCTTTTTTCTTTTTTCTTTTTTTTTTTTTTTTTCATCTTTTTGAGAGGGTCTCCCTGCAGCTGGCCTGGACTCACTATGTAGACCAGGCTGGTCTTGATCTCGTAGAGATCCACCTGCCTCTGCTTCCTGAGTGCTGGGATTAAAGGTGTACACCACCAAGCACCATGCACCCCTATGCCCGGCCCTTTGTTTTGAGACATGGTTTCATGTAGCCCAGGCTGGCATCAAATTTGCTATGTAGTGTAGGATGAATTTGAACTCCTGATCTTCCAGCCTTTACCCCTCCCTCTCATCCCCCAATGCTGGGATTTCAGGTGTGCACAACTAGGCCTGGTTTATGTGATGTTGAAGATTAAATCTAGGGCTTCATTCATGCTAGGCAAGCACTCTGAGTTATATTTCCAACCCTGTGCTTCTTTTCTGCATAGTTTTGAGAATTTAGACAAAATCATAAAGTTCCATGTTATTAAAAAAAAAAATTAAAGCATAGAGTTAGCCAGGCATGGTGGCATACACCTTTAATTCTAGCACCCAGGAGGCAGAGGCAGGTGGATTTCTGTGAGATGGAGGCCGTCTTGGTCTACATACTGGGTGCCAGGTCAGCTGTCTCAAAAAGGAAAAAAAAGCATAGAGTGGCCACCATATTCCAGATAGAGAACAATCCCATCTGCTTTTATTTTATTAATGAAAAATTTTTGTTACGCTTGTGTGTATGTACACACACACACACACACACACACACAGGCGTGCGCGCGCGCGCGGGCGCGCGCCACAGAAGACACATGGAATTCAGATAACTTTCAGGAGTCACTTCTCTCCTACCATGTGGGTCCTGAAATTTTGGACTCAGGTCACCAGGTGTGGTAGCAAGCAGTTTTACCTGCCTGTGACTCCCCATCTGATTTTAGACAGACAGTCCCCAACTTTTAATGGTTCAATTTAAACAACTTTTCATTGAAAGGATGGTGCAGAAGTGACATGCATTAAATAGGAATCATATCTCTGTTTTGAATTTGGATCCTTTCCTAGGCTAGCAGTATGTGGTCTGATTCTCCAGATGCTGGGCAGCTGCCATGAGCCACAGCCCCCATTCAGCTATTTGATCACATGGAGAAATATCAGACGTGCTACAGCATGCTGTGTTGTTAAGCTAGGCTGCTCAGTAGTTCAGGGATTTAAATGTATTTTCTTCTTAGGGTATTTTTATCTCATGATAAGGATGTAGCCCTTTCATAGTCAAAGCACATTGCACATCCTCCTCTCTGCACTGGCTACCCACTGTTCTTTTCCTATTAAACCCACACATTCAGAATCTCTAGGACTGGCTAAAGGTTGGTTCCCCAGGTGATTATGATTTACATCTGGGGAGTAACCATTGCCTGAGGATGTTGTGTCATAACCTGGCAGGAATTTTCCTGGCATCTTGGAGTAGACTTGGAACTGTGAAGACTAAGATTAAGGCCTCAAATTGGTAAAAATAACAGCTAGTCTTTCCCGAGAACTTATTACCTGACAAGTACTGTGCTGAACACATTTATTATGCTACCTCTCACACTTCCCAACAGTTCTGTAAGGTAAACGAATCGCCTCCATTTTACAGATAAGGAGACTGAGGATAGAGATAAAGTACTTTGTCCAAGACCACACAACCAGGCTATGGGGGAGCCAAGATCTGGACCCAGGCAGGCCATTCGAAATGTCCCTACTCCTTACTCCTGTACTCTATTGCCCCCCCCCCCAGCCTGACAGTGGGACAGTTATCCTCATTGGCTCTCACATCCTCTGAAGATTCTCCTAGTACAACTTCTTGCTTGGGATGTTGGTATTCCTAAAGTAGGGATGATTCGGGAGGGACCGTGAGAGCAGAGCACAGAGCAAGCTCTGCTGCTGGGATAAGTAGGTCAAGACCTGGGTTGGGGAGGGGATGCAGAGAGTGGGGGTGCAGGGGAACGCTGAATGTTTCTGTGCTGACAGCATCTTTCCTTCCTCTGCACTGGACAGAGCCTCTTCTGTTTCTCTTCATCTGACCTCCTGTTTACTCCTCTGGCTCTGGAGTTCCTGGCTCCTCTGATTACCTCTTCTTAAGCCCCTACCTCTTCTTTCTCTGCCTCGGCTTGGTAAGAGGGACAAGGGCTCTGAGGGCTGGGTATGGGGAAACATCTCCTGGTTCTGGTGAATGGGTCCTGGAAGTGGGTAGGTCCCACAGGCCTTCAGCATTGGAAGAGAGAGGGCTGTGGGAGGGTTTAGAAAACACCCTGAAAAGGTAATCCTTGCGGTTAGAGGCCCTATCACTTCCCAGAAGGGAATTTGGAAGTGGCCACTGTCTTTTAAGAACTTTAACTGAAAGCTGGGCGTGGTCCTTTAGTGCCAGCACTCAGGAGGTGTAGACAGACAGATCTCTTGTGAGTTCAAGGCCAGCTTGGTCTACATAGTGAGTTCCAGGCCAGCTGGGGCTACAGGGAGACCCTGTCTCAAAAAGACCAAAAAAAAAAAAAAAAAGGAACTTTAACTGAATCACAGTGTTCATAGTAGTGCATGAATTGGACAAGGTGAATGCACTTGTGTAACCAGCATCTGATCAGAATCTGATCAGACTGTGCCTGGCAGCTTTGGAACTCCTCTCAGGCCCTGTTCTAGTTGGCACCCCTGGAGTGTAGGGGAAGCATATTTTTGGTTCTGGCATTTAGAGAGGGTCTAGGGGTACTTAAATGTCCTGTAATTGTAATACATGGGACAGATCTGGAGATTGCCCTGTCTAGGTGTCCTGTTGAGAAGTGGTATGCCAAAGACCTGAGGGACAGGGACTGCAGCTGTGTTAGTGAGAGGGGTCTTCACAAATATGCCAACTCTGTCACCACTCCAGGCCTCCGAAATGCCCCTCGTTGCTGGGCAGTGATCCAGCCCCTGCTGTGTGCTGTGTACATGCCCAAGTGTGAGAATGAACGAGTGGAGCTGCCCAGCCGTACCCTCTGCCAGGCCACCCGAGGCCCCTGTGCCATCGTGGAGAGGGAGCGGGGGTGGCCTGACTTCCTGCGTTGTACACCTGACCACTTCCCTGAAGGCTGCCCGGTGAGTGCTCTGTGGGGCAAGATAAGTCGTCTAGTCTGCCACAGGGCAGCATTGAGCAGGATGCAGGGAAGCCAGAGCCCTGTCTCCTGGGAGACCCTGAGTCTACAGTCACAGGACCCATGAGCCCCACACCCAGGCTGGAAGTCATTGTCTGGCCTAATCTATTGAGGCTTCTCTGTTGACCCAAGGTAATAGGTTCAGTAAATATTTTCTGAGGGCCCATACTGTTAGGTGTTAGAGGAATCATGAATGACAAGAGCTTGTCTTCAGGGATTCCATCATATATGTAGAAGTCAGGGCATACACACACGTGAAACAGCTAGAGGCAGGAAGGCAAAAGGGGTGTGAGTTAATCGTGGTGGGAAAGGAGAGCTCTAAAGTGATTATAGTAACAGGATGAGAGTGATAATTCTAATTATTATTTACTACATACCAAATACAATTATAAACACTTTAGATTACTTATTAATCTAATCCTTAGATCCTACTAGTAAGGTAGAGGTTTCTCTCTCATAGATGGGGAAATGGAGATACAGAGAAGTCAAATAATTTGCTGAAGATTGTACAGCCACTGAGTGGCAAGGCTGGGATTCACATCCTACAAGTGGGCTTCCAGCCAGTATGCATGCCCCTGCCCCTTTTCCCAAACAAGTCTCAGTCCTGATTTAAATTTCCTCTTGGTGTCCCCCTTCCTTGGTGCCAGAATGAGGTCCAGAACATCAAGTTCAACAGTTCAGGCCAATGTGAAGCACCCTTAGTGAGGACGGAGAACCCCAAGAGCTGGTATGAAGATGTGGAGGGCTGCGGGATCCAGTGCCAGAACCCTCTCTTCACAGAAGCAGAGCACCAGGACATGCACAGCTACATTGCAGCCTTTGGTGCAGTCACCGGCCTCTGTACCCTCTTCACTCTGGTAAGTGGTGCTTCAAGGGCAAGGGTGTGAGATTGACAGAGCAAGGCTAGGCTGTAGAGGGAGGTAACATTGTGGGGAGGTTCCTAGGGAAGGTTATGGAGGGTCTTGGGTTCAGGTCAGGATATCTGCTGCAGCAGAACAAACCCTCACTTGGCTGAATGGCCACCTCTCCCTTTAGGCCACCTTCGTGGCTGACTGGCGGAACTCAAATCGCTACCCTGCAGTTATTCTCTTCTATGTCAATGCGTGTTTCTTCGTGGGCAGCATTGGCTGGCTGGCCCAGTTCATGGATGGTGCTCGCCGAGAGATTGTCTGCCGAGCAGATGGCACCATGAGATTTGGGGAGCCCACGTAAGTGTCTTGGGAACCCAGAGGTAAGGGTAGGAGGAAGAAGGCTGTAATGTGCGTTTCCATGAAAGGAAGAGATTGGACTTGAAGGCGAGGTTTCTGGGTAGGATGCAGCATTGCCTATTGCACCCAGTGCTTGAGACCTTTATTTAGTCTCAGGGCCCTGACTGCCCAAGTGTCTGAGACCTTGACTTTGGCCTCAGGACTCTGACTGTGTCTGTTCAAAGAGGTTTACCCTGGGGCCTCTTTAAATCTGACCTGTGTCCCTAGTTCTGGGGACCCTCCAGACTTTTGCAGAACAGGGCCTGGGGACAGGAAGGAGAAACCTGGTAGAGGAGTACAAAGTGACTTCACCAAGTGACATCTTTTGTCTTCACAGCTCCAGTGAGACCCTATCCTGTGTCATCATCTTTGTCATTGTGTACTATGCTCTGATGGCTGGGGTGGTCTGGTTCGTGGTCCTCACCTATGCCTGGCACACCTCCTTCAAAGCCCTGGGCACCACCTACCAGCCTCTTTCAGGCAAGACCTCCTATTTCCACCTGCTCACATGGTCACTGCCCTTTGTCCTCACTGTTGCAATCCTCGCTGTGGCCCAGGTACAGTGACTGGTAGGGGACTGGGAACCTGAATGGGGTGAGCTTGGAAGAGGGGCCAGTGACTAACTATCCCTCTATGCCTTCCTGCTATAGGTGGATGGAGACTCCGTGAGTGGTATCTGTTTTGTGGGCTACAAGAACTACCGGTACCGTGCTGGCTTTGTACTGGCCCCCATTGGCCTGGTGCTTATTGTAGGAGGCTACTTCCTCATCCGAGGTGAGTGACCTGGCCATGGCCAGCCAGGCAACACAGTGTGCTGAGTATTTGCTGTGTGGAAGAGGAGCTTCCAGCTCTGCTGTCTTCATGCTGAGATAGCACCGAGGGCCTTGGTGCAGTGAGGAAGAGGGTGAACCTCTAGGCAGCTACAGGACCATCGGTCTTGCTATGGGACAGCGCCTTTGTGTAGGGCAGAAAAATGTGCCAATTCCTCCAAAGCCATGGCCAAGGCTCCTGCTTCTTCAGGGGAAATTGGGCTGGATTCCAGCTTCTGTCAGCCCTTGGCAGGGTGCACTTGTATGATTAACACCCTGGGTAATCTACCTGGTCCATGTGGACCAATTTGGGGCCATTGCTTATGTGTGCTCACACTAATTTTATATATACTGTCAGTCTTCTGGAGCTTGGTTTCCAAGTCATTCCAACCCCCTAATATACACAAACAGTTTTCACAACACATACAGATTTACTGGTCCCTAATTTCCCTGTCTCAATCTGCTACTCCATGATAAGCCTTGGTTTCTAGCTCATTTTCCTTGGTTTTTCTTTGTCAGTTTTGGTTTCTTTCCACTGAACTGTCAGCCTTCTGTTCAGCCTTCTTTCCTCCTTTGCTGGCACAGCATCTGAGTCTCTAATATATGTTTCGCATCTGTGCCATCCCATACAGTAACCAGTAGCCACAAGTATTATAACTCGTCCAAACTGAGATGTATTGTAAGTTGAAGAAACATATGGCATTGGAAACAGCATCAGGAAGAGGGAAATTAAAAAGCATCTCTAATAAATTGTTATATAAATTAATGTTGAAATGATTATATTTTGGATACATTTGGTTTGTAAAATATATTTAAATTGTTGCACTTTTTTTAGTAAGTGGCTACTTACTAGAGAGCTTAGGATTATATATGTGGCACACAATGTATTTCTATTGGACAGTACTGTTTTTGGTTCTATTTAATGCTTTTTCCACCAGAATATCTTTGACTTGGTTCCCTCTCTCCATCCTTGTCTGTCTAGGCTCTTCCCCAGTCACTCCAGCCCATGGCACATTTGCTACCAGCTGTTCTCATTTTTCAGTCCCCCAAGCTTTAAGTCCAGGTGGATGTAATTAGGCCTAAGAGTCCAGTGTCACGGGACCCCGCCAGCCCAAGGAGAGTAGCCTCACCCCTGATAATGCCTTTCTTTGTGTTTAGGAGTCATGACTCTGTTCTCCATCAAGAGCAACCATCCTGGGCTGCTGAGTGAGAAGGCTGCCAGCAAGATCAACGAGACCATGCTACGCCTGGGTGAGTGGTGCCCAGGAGACACTGGTCAGCTGAACGCAGAATCCTTTTGAAGCTCTGGGACCTCCAAGATGCAGAAAAGCAGTAGGTCAAGTTAGTGTTCTTAGGACAGAGCCAAAGTATAGGTTATAATAGAGGTGGCAACTGCCTGTTAGAAGGGCTTCTCAGATGGAAGAATCCAGGTTTGTGCCAAGAATACTTCCACAGGCTCACTTCCCTCCCATGTGGCCTCCCATAGTTGCCCCTGGGACCTTTTGGATGCATTTTGGAGGACGCAGTTCTTGACCTTAGCCCAGCACATAGTCACTCTAGACTCAGCTGTCTTCAGCCCTCGGCAGGGCAATCACCCTCCTCCCCAGTGCTGCTGCAACGTCTGTGTTGGTAATGTCCTGCTCCTGAACTCCACAGGTATTTTTGGCTTCCTGGCCTTTGGCTTTGTGCTCATCACCTTCAGTTGCCACTTCTATGACTTCTTCAACCAGGCCGAGTGGGAACGTAGCTTCCGAGACTATGTGCTGTGAGTGAGGGGCCCAGGGCTTGTTGTGGCGGTGATAGATGCTGGTGCCCCTGCTGTGAGGCAGCATCCCCTCTGCTGTGCTGCAGTGATCTTCCAGGGTTCTGCCTCAGATGTGACTGACTAGCTTTCACACTGCTGTTCAACTCCACATGTCTGTCTGCATCCCCTGAGTTGTCTGTCTGGTGTGTTTGTAACTGTTTAGAAGCCAGTTTGAGCTTTGGTTCTTCTGACTGATTCTAGGCTAGCTACAGAAGTTGAACTCCTTCTGACTCTGTGAACCTTCTATGGAGCTCTCTGTTGTGGGTCTCTGCACAGGAGTAGGTACTCTCTATATCTGAGTAACAGTCTGCTCAAGTTTGTTCGTTTTACCTGGACTTTTGTGTTTCACTGAGTATGAATCAGAGCAAGCAAGCATCTCAATTGTTGAAGGAAGAGCAGTGCCTGTTGCTACCAGGGGCCACGTTAAAATGCCCATTAAAAGGGGCACCTTGGGCTGGACAGATGGCTTAGAAGTTAAGAGAAGACCTGAATCTGGTTCCCATCACCCACACTGGGTGGCTCACCACTGGTTGTCTGTAACTCCAGCTCCAAGGTATCCAACACTCTCTTCTGGCCTCTGTGGGCACCTTCACACATGTGGCATACACATAGACACACATACATTTAAGTAAAAATAACTCCTAAAAATTTTGCTAAAAATGGCAGGAGAGAGAAACACTTGTCCTGATTGCTTCTGGCTCATTTGTAAAGGTTTAAGTCTGGGAAGCTGCAACCCACAACAATGCTAGATTTCTGTCCCAGAGGTTTGTTGTAAGGTCCAGACATCAATAGTTTATACCAGCTCCCTAGATGATTAAGAGTGTCATCAGGGACTGGTATTATAGCTCATTGGTAGAGCTTAGCATGTATAGACCTAGGTTTGATCCGTACCAACACACACACACACACACACACCCGCTTAGCATGTATATGTATGAGGCCTAAGTTTAATACCCAGCACCAACACACTACACACACACACACACACACACACGCTTAGCATGTATATGTATGAGGCCTAAGTTTAATACCCAGCACCAACACACTACACACACACACACACACACACACGCTTAGCATGTATATGTATGAGGCCTAAGTTTAATACCCAGCACCAACACACTACACACACACACACACACACACACACACACACACACACGTGCGCACTCACACACACTCTCACACGCACAACCAGAGAGCACAGTGAGAATTGTGCAGTGGGACTCAGCTCTTTCCTAAGTTTTTGGATTTATATCTGTGTACTTTCCTATTAGATTCAGAAAGCCTCAGCTATTGACTACCTCTTACCATAGGTGCCAGGCCAATGTGACCATTGGGCTGCCTACCAAGAAGCCCATCCCTGACTGTGAGATCAAGAATCGCCCTAGCCTCCTGGTGGAGAAGATCAACCTGTTTGCCATGTTTGGAACTGGCATTGCCATGAGCACCTGGGTCTGGACTAAGGCCACACTGCTCATCTGGAGGCGCACCTGGTGCAGGTGGGGTCAAAAGCTGTCTAATCCTATCCTTCCTGTCTCACTCTGGGCCTCATATCCCCACTTTAGGCTTGTCCAGTCCTGCTTCCAGCACACAGCCTGGGGCAGCTGTTAGCCAAAGCACTGCCCTGAGCTGCTTAGCTCACCACTGCCATCTAGTGACAGCTCCTGTCTTCATGCAGCCTGAGCCTGGGCTAAGTGGAAACCAGCTCATGAAGTCTGAGAACTGTGATTTGAAAGCAGGGGCCCACAGGAGCCCTGCATTCTAGACATGCATCTTTGCAAGGAATGCCTCGATTCCTCAGAGTCCTCAGAGGACTTCAGGTCCTTGAGCCTGCTGTCCTGGAGCAAATAGAATCCCAGGTCTTTTCATCAGACTTGAAAGGAAGCAGCTGCTCCTCCACTTCCCAGTCACACCCTTTCTGCTCTCAGGTTAACTGGGCAGAGCGATGATGAGCCCAAGCGAATCAAGAAGAGCAAGATGATTGCCAAGGCTTTCTCTAAGCGGCGTGAGCTGCTGCAGAACCCAGGCCAGGAGCTCTCCTTCAGCATGCACACTGTCTCACATGATGGACCTGTGGGTGAGCCTCAGCCCATACTCCCACTGAGTCAACTTAACCCCACAGTACCAAGCTCTTGCCCTCCCAGGGTACATGGACTGTTTGGCATAAGGTGCCCCCTACTGCTTGTTTACACCTCCTTTTCCAGTCTTCTAAATCTTGGGCCCTCTTCCCATTCTTCTCTCTGCATGCTTGCTGGGGCTGTTTCTGTGAGAACTCTACTCACTCTCCCTTCTTCCCTTTTTTCTGTAGTGGCCCTTTTGGGCCAGAGTGAATCAGGGTGCCGATACTAGATTTCTGGTCTCTGGTTAGCCTTTATGGGGCCAGAAGCTGCTTCCCTCAGATTCTGAATGGGCAGAGATTATATTACAGGGTAGACTTTCTTTCTCTGCCAACTGCAGTGGGAGGGTCTGGCTAGGAAGGATGAATAGTGATACATAAGGGAGAAGTAACTGTTCCTTCTTTCCCTTCATCCCCAAAGCGGGTTTGGCCTTTGACCTCAATGAACCTTCAGCTGATGTCTCCTCTGCTTGGGCCCAACATGTCACCAAGATGGTGGCTCGGAGAGGAGCCATACTGCCCCAGGATGTGTCTGTCACCCCTGTAGCAACTCCAGGTATGAAGGCTGTAACTTCCATAGGAAAGTGCGGGAGGGACACAGAGGCTAGGTACTCCTGGGAGCGGAGCCTACAGTGCTGCCAGAGGTGGAGAAGGAAAGAAAGGCCCCAGAGGATTTGAAGTGAGAGCTAGGCTTTGGGAGCCTGGAGTGATGGGAGCTCTGGGAAGGGAAAGGTGGCAAGGATGAAGCTAGGGCCCCAGACCATGTTCTCTTTCCCCTTGACAGTGCCACCAGAGGAACAAGCCAATCTGTGGCTAGTTGAGGCAGAGATCTCCCCAGAGCTAGAGAAGCGCCTGGGCCGGAAGAAGAAGCGGAGGAAGAGGAAGAAGGAAGTGTGCCCTCTGGGGCCAGCCCCTGAGCTTCACCACCCTGCCCCAGCCCCCATCACCAGTGCAGTTCCTCGGCTGCCTCAGCTGCCCCGGCAAAAGTGCCTGGTGGCTGCAAGTGCCTGGGGAACAGGGGAGCCCTGCCGACAGGGAGCCTGGACCCTGGTCTCCAACCCCTTCTGCCCAGAGCCTAGTCCCCATCAAGACCCATTTCTCCCTGGCACCTCAGCCCCCAGGGCCTGGGCTCAGGGTCGCCTCCAGGGACTGGGATCCATTCACTCTCGCACCAACCTGATGGAGGCTGAGCTCCTGGATGCAGACTCGGACTTCTAAGCCTGCAGGGCAGGCCGTGGGACAGGAAAAATGAATGCATACCCTTCCATGGCTCTTTTTCCTGAGAGCACTCCTGGGGGCTCATCTGCCAGAGAAGCTGTGGGCCAGGCGTAGACCTAGAAGAGTTCTGTGTGTCTGACTCAAAATAGCAGGACTGTGGGAATGAGCTGAATGTAGCCACTGGTAGGCCTCATGCTAGGGGCAGGGCCCTGCAGCTCAGGGTCTTTGTTTCTGCCCCACCAATTGGAGTCTGGGTGGCAGTATCAGTCCCCAGCAGAGCTTGTACTAGGGCGGGAATGGCAGAGGCAAGGGTGACAGTACCCAGAGTGGGTTTTGGTGGCCAGGGAGGCAACCAAACCCCATATCTGGCATCTGAGGGCTAGTTGCCTTTTTCTGTGCCAATGGGTGCCCTTTTCTGGCACTCTCAGACCAAAAGTGTTTATTGTGATTTGTCCTTTGTCTAAGTGGGGACAGGATTCCCTCCTTTCTCTTCCAAGTGGTTGTGATGCTAGAAGTGCCTATTCCCATAAGGGCCATAACCTCTCAACAGATGGCCCTATCTGAAACCCATTGTTTTCATGTACCCACCCCTTTCAAATCTCAGTTCCACTAGACCAATCTCTTCTTGCTTCCTGTTTGTTGATTAACACCCCCAAACTGCAGCAAACACACACATCCTGAGCTCTGTCTCCAAGTGAGAGACTGGTTGGGCTCCAGAGCCTTTGCTTGGCATCTAGTAGAAGGCAGATAAGAGCCAGCAGGCCTCTGAGAGACACGTTTCTTCCTCATATTCATCCAGTGGGGATGAACCCTCTGACTTAAGGGGCTATCCTGGGAAGCTGCTGTAGCTTTAACCAGGCAAGAAAGCCTCCTCCAACTAATACAACTGGTGGGAGGGGAGATTCCCTACCTTTTCCAGTGACTAGCCATGTCCCCAGTGCCCCATGTTCAAGAACCAGACAGCAGGAAGCCTTAGAAGCAGGCTGGGTTCCAGGTCAGGGGATCCATATGGGAAGAAAAAGTATAAACAGTAAATAAAACATTTTTGTGTAAGCACATGTGTGTTTCTTTTCCCTAACCCCAGCCCTACCCTGTGTACCTGGTCCTAATCTTCCATATACTCCTGAGGCTTTCCTGACAGGCAGAGGGCTTGGGGCTGATGAGGTCATAACTGACAGCCAGATGTTAGGCTGCTTCAGCTTGAAGTACTGGTTGCCCTCCCCAGCTAAATGGACAAAAGCTTCTCTGTGGCCACAGCTACCTCCCTCATCACCGAACATAAGATAAAGGACAGAGCTGCAGTGTGCCCCTGGAGTGACCAGAGGAAGTGTTTCTCTGATGATATGTAGATGGACACAGCTCCTTGTGCCAATCCTGGGTCCCACCTTTTCGGGGGGGTGGGTATGCTCACCATTTCCTAATAGGTGTTGTTTTGGGTGCGTTTGGATCCACAGCTTCCACTGGGCAGTCAAAGGAATTCAAGTCAAGGGAAGCTTATTAGTTTCACTTCCTCAAAATAGCAAGAAGAATAGGATTCAAGACTATATGAAAAGGAGGTCTGTGGAAGAAAGGCAGTGGGACCCACAGGCACGAAGGATAGTGCGGAATGTTGATCTGACGTATGTGGCATACCACTTTTTAATCCAATTTATGTGCTGGAGACACAAAAAGTGTGACCAGAGCCAGGTTGCGGGGGGCGGGGGGGGGCATGACTAACATGCAGATTTTATCCTAGGTACCCTGTAGCTATATTAAACCAGTAATAGCTAACATTCAGTAGAATGACCCTCCACAGGATTTTATGTATATGAGTGGTTTGCCTGCATGTATGTAAGTACACCTATGTGTACAATGCCTATGGAGGCTAGAAGGGGAGGGTTATGTTAGCTGCTATGTAGGTGTTAAAAACTGAACCCGGGTTCTCTTCAAGACCGCTGAGTCATGTCTCCAGCCCTCCTCCACATGTTTTAACCCACTGAATCTGACAGTTCTGCAAGGCTCTGTTACACCTCTCAAGGCACTGAGGCATGGAAACTTTCAACAGGCTTCTCCAAAACATTAAGCTATTGGTAATGCTGGGATTCAGTCAGGGCCCTCTGGTTGCAGCCTGACAAGGATCCAGTCAGTTTGTTTTGCAAGGGAACAAGCTCAGTGAGGCAAAGTGATTTGCACACAGCCTTGTAGCTGGCAAGGGGCAGACACTGGGTCCAGTCTTCCCTGCTCTTCCCCACCCAGTGGAAATTTATTTTTCCTCCTACCCAGATTCCCATTGTGTGTACTCCCAGGCCACCCCATCCCATGTGCTTACTTGCCTTGTTTATTCTTGCCATTATGGCTCTGCAGAATATGGCTATTTTAAAAATTTTATCGACAGTGTTTAAAACAAAACTTAGTGCTGTTTGGTGGTATTTTCTGAAATAAGGGACAATTGTATCTTCCTTTTTTTATATCTCCATGAACATTTAACGGTTGTTTTCCATTTTTCCTATCTTTAGGATTGCTTGTGTAAAGATAGAGGATGGAGTTCAATCTAGGCTTTCAAAAGTTGAGAAATGGCTGGGCGTGGTGGTGCATGCTTTTAATCCCAGCACTTGGGAGGCAGAGACAGGAGGATCTCTGTGAGTTTAAGGACAGCTTCGTCTACATTGTGAGCTCCAGGACAGCTGGGGCTACAGGGAGACCCTGTCTCAAAAAGACCAAAAAAATAAAAAAATAAAAAAGCTGAGAAATGCTTTTGGTATGGTTGCAGAGGCAAACTGTGACCACTAGAGGGCAGTATGAACAAATTTTTGTACATGCAGACCCAAGGCTGCAGAGATGTTCAGAACATCGCACACAACCTGCCAAACGGGAAATCTTACAGGATTTCTGTACAGTGCCAGAAGTCACTGAGCAACAAGGACCACCACACCACCAAAAAGTCTTGAATCAGATCCCTAAGGAAGCACCTTAAGGTTCAAGAGGAACAGATTTTGGCTCCCAGCTGTCTCAGAGTCACCTCCCCACCAGCTCCGCCTCCGCTGAGCCCTTGGGCTTCCTTACCAACTTCAGGCTCCCACTTCCTAAAGCAGTTTGCACTGCCCCCAACCACTCCTCTGCCCACTTGGGATTTTAGTATAAAAACTGAAAAGACTTGGAAAAGCACAAAGAACGGTAGAATTAAAAACCCATATCCCAGGGCTGGGGAGAGAGCTTATTGGCAAATGCATGAGGACCTGAGTTTGATCCTCAGAATCCATGTAAGAATTCTGGTTCAGCAAGTAAAGGCACTTGGTGTTGAGCCTAACCTGCATTTGATTCTCAGAGCCTTCAAGATCACACACACTAGGTGTTTAAAAAAGATTGTACTGCATTTGTTCACTTAACTGTGTGTGGGTGTGCACATACCATAGCATGCATGTAGAGAGGTCAGAAGGCAACTTGTCATTTCTCTTTTTCACTCTTCTTGAAAGGAAAATAACTGCTTCTTGGGTTTCTTTCTACTTCTTTCTTTTTCTTTTTAGACAAGGTCTCAGGTCTTGCTATGTAGCCAGATTGGCCTATAATTTGCTACAAACCAGGCTGGCCTCTAACACCCAATTCTGCTTCAGCCTCCTGATTGTTATTACAGCAGGCACCTGGCTGCTTTTATACTTATATGCAGATGCAGCTATGTATCCACAAGCAATTTACATACTGCTTTGTGTTTAGTTCTTCAGTGTTCTTTTCTTTTTACATTTATTTGTGTGTGCGTGTGTGTGTGTGTGTGTGTGTGTATGTGTGTCTACACAAATGCAAGAATGCTTGGGTGCATGTGGGCATGTAAAGGTCAGAAGACAACTTGGGGGAGCCAGTTCCTTCCTTCTACCATGTAGGTTTTGGGGAGTGAGCTCAGGTCAAAATTGGCAGCAAGTGCCTCTACTTGCTGACTCATCTTACCAGCCCCCCCTTTTAAATTTTTTATTTTATGTGTATGAGTGTTATGCTTGTATGTATGTAAGTGTACCCGTGTTGTGCAGTGCCCACAGAAGACAGAGAGGGCATCTGATCCTCTGGAACTGGAATTATGGATGATTGTCAGCCACCATGTGTGTGCTGGGATATGAACCCAACAGCCAGTGCTCTTAACCGCTGAGCCATCTCTCTAGTCCCTTGCTTAGTTTTGTTGAGTTCACAGTCACTATGCAGTGCCAATGAAAGATACTCTTTGTCTACAGAATTTTGAAATTTCACAATGGTATTACAGAGTCTGTTTTCACACACTGTGCTGGCTATGTAGTCGTTCCTTTAATAGTTTTTCTTTTTTTTTTCTCACCCAGAGCTTTCCACATTTCAGGCAAGTCCTCTGCCACTGTACTATATATACCTTCAGCCTCTCTACTTTCTTTGTTATTACCTTCTAGCACTTTTATTATTTAAACTTTGTGGGCCACTCGTCTAATGTATTTTACTTTTTTTTTCCTGTAATAATTTATTTACTTATTGTAATGGTGGGGACTAAACCCAGGTCTGGAGCATGCTCAGCAAGTGCTCTACCATTGAGCTATGTTTGCAGCCCTGTTTTTGAAATGTAAAATATGTTGATTTGAAAAATAATTCCTAAAAGATTGCCTAGTCCTTAATACTATACTATAGCTATTCAATATATTACATGTATCATATCAAAATGTCCGTTAGAAATGCATACAAATACTATGAAAAAGCTACCATTTTCTCTTTTTAAAAATTTATTATTTTTTATTTTATGTGTATGAGTGTATGCCTGCATGTATATAAGTGTACCTGTGTCATACAATGCCTGCGGAGGACAAAAGAGGCTGTTGGATCCCCTGGAACTGGAATTATGGACAATTGTTAGCTGCCATGTGGGTGCTGGGATTTGAACCTGGGTCTTCTGCAAGAACAGCCAGTGTTCTTAACTGCTGAACCATCTCTCCAGCCCCATAAGCTACCATTTTCAACAATGTCAGCAAAAAGTAGAAAACATCTTTCCTAACCAGGTGTACACACACCTGTAATCTCAGCACACCTAGGAGGCAGAGATAGGAGGACTTGCTGAAGTCTGGGGACTGCCTGGTCTATAGAGTAAGTTCCAGGCCTGCTAGGCAACATAGCAAGGTTCTGTCTCAAAAATAAAGCAAAATAAAATAGGCAACAAAAAAACCAAATTTCCTGTTTTTAAAAAATATTTAAATTTTTATGTATATAAGTATACGGCCTGCATCTATGTAAGTGCACCTGTGGTATGTAGTGCCCATGGAGGTAAACTAAGTATATTAGTGATTGATCATTCACTCATTCATTCATAGACAAGGTCTCCCTATGTAGCCTAGGTGGGCTTTAAACTCTTCAGGTAGCACAGGCCAGCCTTGAACTCAAAATTTCTCTTCCTCAGCCTCCTGAGTACTGCTATTATATGTACTACCACTTGTTCTGTGATTTAAAAACAATCTTGATCCCTGCCTCTTTTCTTGTGGTTCAGGAGACAGAACTCAGGGTTTCATGAATGCTAGGCAAGCACTCTACCACTGAACCATCTTCCCAGTTCCTTATCTTACTTTCATCTTAAAAGGTTCTTCATGTCTGGTGCCTTAGACTATCTGCTCATACTTAAGAGTGTGGCACTCTTGGGTGTGGTGGTGCACGCCTTTAGTCCTAGCACTAGGAGGTAAAGGTAGGTAGATCTTTGTGAGATCAAGGCCATCCTGGTCTACCTAGCAAGTTCCAGGCCAGCCAGGGCTACAGGGAGACCCTGTCTCATCAGACGGTTCACAGAACTCTGAACCAGAGCATGGTCTTCACTATGTGTGATCTGGATGGCAAAATCTTCAGTGTTAGTATTTTTGTTTTCCTCTTGGGCTGGTCAGATAATTTAGGAAAGTTCCTTCAATCTTCTACACAGAAGATTGTTACTGTCTGTCAGACTTTGGAAGCAGAATGAGCCAACTGTAGGCTTAAACTTTCCTTAGTCAATAAACTTGTGCATAATCACCCTGCTTCAAGTACAGCAATTCCACCTTAACTCTGCTTGGTTGGCCCCAGCAACCAAGAGCTGCCTCAGGAACATCAGATGTATAGGATAGGGCTGAAAATGGGTAAAGAATAGGATCTGACTGTTGGCTCCAAGTAATGAAAGGCCTGGATGAATAAAGGCCAAATATCTGCCTCTTTTCAGGGCCCACACTCCTTACATTTCATCACCACATCCCAGTGAAAAATTAGTTCATCCGCTCAGTAATCAATTCTAGTGACAGGCCAGGTAGGCAGCTGCTGACTGAACACCTACATATGCCAGGTGGCTGTACTGCAGATCCCTTGTGTACTAGGGGGAAGAAAGAAATCAGTTATAGAGCTGTCAGTCTCTGCCCCAACAGCTGGAGGACGAAGCTTGGGCTGGTTCTTCATAACAGGAAGGAAATGGTCAAAACCAGAAATGTGAAGAGAAAGCTTAAGAAGCTCTTGTGTCTGGTACTTTTGGGTTTTGTGGAAATGGCTGTGCTCAGGTGCCTTACAGTGCAAATCTGGAGACCAGGAAGTGAAAGCTTCCACTGGAGGGACAACTCTACTAAGAGAATAGACTTCCAAGTCTGTACTAATAATAGCAGATGAAAGAAAGAGCCCAAGCAGGTGGTTTCTCTTTTTGTCTCCTTGCCAAGGAAAAGAGTTACCCTGATGACTACATAGCCACGGGTCCCCTCAAGATGTCAGGGCTGTTATTACTCTCTGAATAGTCACAAACTGCATGATACCCTTTGAAGGTTTTCATTATAAAAAAGAAATTTATAAGAATATATAAAATTGCTGGGTGTGGTGGTGCATGCCTTTAACCCAGCCCTTGGGAGGCAGAGACAGATCTCTGTTTGTGGTCAGCCTTGTCTATATAGTGAGTTCCAGGCCAGATTGGCTACAGAGAGACTAGCCTCACTGACAAAAATAAATAAATAAAATCATTAAAAAGTTATAAAAATATAAGATATAAAAGAATTTATAAGAATACAGAAAACATCTATCTCATAATATGTTCAAAGAGTCAACGCTGTTTTAATATATATTTTTCCCCTTAGGCAATATTCACACAGAATTTAGAATGGCAACTTTAAAAAATTTTTTATTTATTATTTTTATTTTATGTGTATGTGTGTATTGCCTGCATGTAGGTGAGTGCACCCGTGTCGTGCAATGCCTGTGGAGGACAGAAGAGACTGTTGGATCCCCTGGAACTGGAGTTAACAGACAGTTGTTAGCTGCCATGGGGATGCTGGGATTTGAACCCAGGTCATCTGCAATAGCAGCCAGTGTTCTTCCAGCCATCTCTCCAGCCCAGAATGTGCAATTTAAAAAAAAAATTATTTTTGTGTATGTATGTTTCCGTATGTATGTTTACATGTGTGGGGGTGTCCACAAAGGCCAGAAAGGTGTCTGATTCCCTGGAGCTGGAGTTACAGGAAGTTGTGAATCTACTGTTGTGGGTGCTAGGAATCAACTCTGGTCCTCTGCAGGAGCTCTCAAATGCTGAGCCATCTCTCCAGCCCTTAGAATGTACAATGTTGGATTCTTGCTTTTTTGTCTAATATTTTATTTTATCACAGGCATTTATTTCCCTCTATCATTAAAAATTTCTGGAAAACAATTTTTTAAAAGATTTATTTTATTTTTTATGTGTATGGGAGTGTGTTTGTGTGTGGGTATGTGCACTTGGGTGCAGGTGTCCACAGAGGTCAGAAAGAGTGCATCAGATCCTCTGGAGCTGGAGTTATAGGCAATTGTGAGCTGCTTGACATTGGTTCTAGTAACCTGAACTCTGGTCCTGTACAAGAGAAACAATTGCTCATAACCCCTGAGCCATTTCTCCAGCCCCTGGAAAACAATTCCCCTATTGTTAACAGACCATAGCTTTGGATATGCTTATTTCTTTATTTATACTTTATACATATGAGTGTTTGCCTGCATGTATGTAAGTGCACCCATGTTGTACAAAGCCTGTGGAGGCCAGAAAAGGGCGTCAGATCCTTTGGAACTGGAGTTATGGATGGTTGTTAGCCATCATGTGGGTGCTGGGAATTGAACCTGGGCTTCTGGAAGAGCAGCCAGTGCATTTAACCACTGAGCCATCTCTCCAGCCCCCATTTTTAATTTCTGAGGCAGAATTTTGCTAAGTAGACCAAGCTGGCCCTGACAACCTGACAATTCCTGATCCTCCAGCTTCAGCCTCCTGAGCACTGTGTATATGTGCCACCATGCCCCATCAGGTAACTTTTTGTTATTAAAAATAGAACTGGGCCAGCAAGATGGCTCAGCAGGTAAAAGCACTTGCTGCCCAAACCTGGCAATCTGAGTTTAGTGCCTAGAGTCCACATAAAGGTAGAGAGAGAGAGAGACTCTACAAAGTTTTCTTTTGACTCCCACATGTGCACTGTGGCATGAGCACCCATACATACATATCACACACACACACACACACACACACACACACACACAGAGTAAAAATAAAAACCAAAAAACTTCTGGGGCTGGAGAGATGGCTCAGCGGTTAAGAGCACTGACTGCTCTTGCAGGGGACCCGATTTCGACTCCCAGCACCCACATGGTGGCTAGAACCATCCTTAACTCCAGCTCCAGGGGAATCCGAAGCCCTCTTCTGACCTCCACGGCATTGCATGATACGGATGCACTCATATACACGTACGCAATACACTTCATACACATGAAATAAAAATAATAAATAAAAGTTTTTAAAAAAAACAAAAAGCTTCCATACATGCCTTTAAACTTATATTCTCTAAATGTAAAATTGAAAACTACAGAGATACAAAGAAAGTAAATCAGATTATATCATTTAGGGAAATCACCCTTTGGATCTTAGTTAATATTCTATTCTACATGTGTATCTGAATTCACGGTTTTCCATAGAAGTAACAGTTAAAAACATCTGGCCTCATTTAAAGGCAACATGTTAATTCTTCAGTGGAATTTCGACCTAATGGAAATTAACTTTCAGATTTAAAAAAATGCATATTTTACGTTTTGCCTCCATGTATGTCAGGTGATGTATGTCCGTTTGGGAGTTACAAACGGTTGTGGGTGTGGGGGACATAAACCCCGGTCCTCTACAAGAGCAGCCAATGCTTTTAACCGCTGAGCCATCTCTCCAGCCCTCTTTCGGTTTTATTATTATAAATAATAAATTTGATTTTTTTGAAACACGGTCTCCCTGTTCCAGGCTGGACTGAAACTTAGAGATCCGCCTGCCTCTGCTGATTAAAGTGCTGGATTAAAGGCGTGCACTAGGCTAGCTAGCCTGGCCTTGAACTACCGGCAGTGTTTCAGCCTCCAGCTTCCAAGTGCTAGGGTTACCCGCCTACTTCACCAAACCCTGATGAAATTAACTTCCTTGGAGACTGAATATGCCAGACAGAGATCGCCACGGGAGGCAATGCCTTTCTTACTTTAATCTTGACGCCAACTCACTGAAGTAAAGAAAGGCGTTAAGGTCCCAGTTTCAACCCCCCAAAACCATGACTTCCAGGTTAGAGCCTGGGTCACCTCATGTGACACGCCGCTTTTCCTTTAAAGACCGCCCACGTGATCGTGGACTTGCGCGCACACACGGAGGAAATTCACGCTGTCCCGTGAGCGTGTCATTTTCCTTCACTTTCTCTAGGGTTTCTGGTATTCCCTTCCGGAAACCGCACTTTTTTTCCTCACCTATTTCGTCCCGTCATCCATCCTTACTCTTTCCCCTTAGTCTCTGTCCTGGGAGCTCGCTCTCCTCCACAGAAAACTACTTTCCGGAAGGCCGAAGGGACTACAACTCCCAGGGGGCTCTGCGGCCCGCTTCTCTCACGCGCAGTGCAGCTTAGGAGCTGAGGTCCCAAGATCTGACCGCGTGCAACCCGGAGCAAGCGCACTACAGATTCCATGGAGCTCCGCGCGTGAGCCCGACCTGGGCGGGGTGGGGCGGGGCTGGTGGGGCCGAGGCAGGCGGCAGGCAGGCAGGCAGGCGGAGGAAGGGGGTGGGAGCGGAGGCGATGGAGGGGAGGTGTGGGGGAATGGGGGAGGGAAGGGCGGCGGGAGGCGGGGCCGAGTGGGAGCTGGAGCTGGAGCTGGAGTGTGAGCCGGCCGTTGCAGCGGAGGCGGTGATGTCTGTGCAGGTTGTGTCAGCCGCTGCTGCCGCCAAGGTGCCTGAGGTGGATCTGAAAGACCTGAGCCCCTCCGAGGCGGAGCCCCAGTTGGGACTGACCACGGCGTCCGTGGGCGCCATGGTTCCTCCGGCGGGCGGCGGGGACCCCGAGGCTCCAGCTCCCGCCGCCGAGCGGCCCCCGGCCCCTGGCCCGGGTTCCGGGCCGGCCGCGGCTCTCAGCCCTGCGGCGGGGAAGGTGCCACAGGCGTCGGCCATGAAGCGGAGCGACCCGCATCACCAGCACCAGCGGCACCGGGACGGCGGCGAGGCCCTGGTCAGCCCCGACGGCACAGTCACGGAGGCACCGCGCACGGTCAAGAAGGTACTGGGGCCGGGCTGCCTCAGAGAGGCGGGGAGGGCGGCAGCTCCTCGCGGCAGTCGCTCCACCCTTCACGCCCTCCCTTTGGATCCCCCTGGAACCCGCTCCCGGAGCTGCTGTCTCCTGGCGCTCCGCTGCGAAGCGGGGCTCCAGGTGCCACGGCCGTACTTCTCTAGGAATAACATGGAGGTAGCGCGCTTCGCTACTACTGGGACTAGGCAGGGGGAGAGGCACCTACTACTACGTCCCCCGCTCCCCAGACGCTCCCGCGTGTCATGTTCCGGACTGTTCCGGTGGTCCAGGAAAACCTTCCCGCCAGCCATGAGGGTGGAAAGGTCTTTTTCCCTCGGAGAACGAGGAAGCAGTAGTTAGGTCCCACTGCAACCCTCTGAGTTGTCTGGCTTCTGTATAGATGATGACTTTGTGCCTTGCTGTGGCCAACAGCTTCCATAGAGAAGTCCTGATTCTGTGTCCTTCCTTTCCAGAGATTGCAGTTCCCTTGCATCCTGACTGTAGAAAGATCGTGGAGAGATTCTTCACTCTTAAGAAGTCTGTCCCCTCAGCTCAGTAATTGGTCCCCAGGATGGCTAGTGACTAGACTGTATATGAAGAGAAAGCTTATTCCATTGGTCTTTATTATGAGCTGAAAGTGTTAGGAAGAAATGCTGCGACTTTGGAGAAAGTGACCATTGGGCTCTTTTCTGTCTCAGCTGTCAGCTTCTTTCACACAGTTTTGAAGCCTCAGAACACCAAGGAGTAACGTGCAATAATAATTCCCCTGTATTACTCATACGTCATCTATCTCTGCCCCCCACATCCCCCAGCCTCGTTTTTACCCTCCCTCTCTCAATGCTAAATAAGCACAGGAAAAAAAATATGTGAAAAAGACAGAGATGTGGATCATCTAAAAAGAAATTATGACTTTAATTTCCGAGACAATATAAACAGTTGATTTTTTTTTTTTAAATGATATCAGCCGGGCGTGGTGGCGCACGCCTTTAATCCCAGCACTCGGGAGGCCGAGGCAGGTGGATCTCTAGTTCAAGGCCAGCCTGGTCTACATAGTGAGTTCCAGGCCAGCTGGGGCTACAGGGAGACCCTGTCTCAAAAAGACCAAAAAAACAAACAAAAGAAAAAACCCAAAATGATAATCGAGTGAGTTTTATTTTGTCAGAACAGCAATAAAAAGGCTGTGAACTCCAAGTTGGTTTTACTGTGTAGGGTTCAGGTGAACCTTGGATCCAGCTAATAAAAATTTTGTTGTAATTGCTTCATGATTAAGGAAGAGCAGGTAACTTTTTCATTCTAACTTCTCATATGTCAACGATGTCAAAGGCAAGACTGAAGGAATCTGATAATGCTTTAGGGCCTGTTTTGTCCCTTGCAATTTAATTTTTCTTTTTACTGGTGCAATTATAGTTAAATGGAGTAATTCCTCCAGCTAAAAAAATGCAGCCTGGGCACTGGGGCCAGAAGTACTTAGCTAAAACTCAGGAAATCTGAAGCCTAATTCTGACTAGTTGAAATGCTTTATAACTTTGGCCAAATCTTTTTCTTGTGATTCTCTGTGTCTAAATTCTGTAAAGTTCTTTTTAGGGTAAAAAATGCTTAACAAACTGCTTGTAGAGCATGAAATTTACACTTAGGCAGACCTGGGTCTGAATCCTAGTACTTCTTCCCCTGCCACTAACTTTTGAGTAGTTTGAAAATTCTACAAGTCAGTTTCTTCTTCCAAATATGGATTGAGGGTTAAAAATACTTGTGAAGGTCCTAATGTAGGACTCGCACCCAAAGTAGATAGTCTTGAGAAATGATAGCCAGTATTAGAATCGATTTGTATTTTTCTCACGGTGGCTTAAGTGTGTGCCACCATGACATTCTCTGAAAGGTATACATAATAGTAATAGTTCAGTAGATTAGTATAAAGAAGTTAAAAGATCACAGGCCAGTACCCCAGAGTCATTTTCTTAATTCTGCATATGCTTCTTGGCCATTTTCCTTGCTGCTGAGCCACCATCCTGTTTTTTCAGTATCAAAATGTATGTTCCATGATTCCAGATTTACTCAGAAGCCTCAAGGCTATAGAAGACAGGGCTGATCTTGTCTTACAATGTTAATTGCACCAAAAAGCAATTTATTTGCTGAGCGTTAAGCAGGTGAAGTCCTGAGAACGATGCAACTGTATGACATAAGTGAGGACATTGCTGAGCCCAGCTTGTCTTCTCTTGTCTTCCCCTCCTTCCTCTTCCCCCTCCTGTCTCATCTCCTTTCTTTTCCCCTTTCCTCCCCTTCTCTCCCTCTTTATAGGGTCTTGTTCTGTAGCCCAAACTAGCTTAGAACTACATTGCTGAGATTACTCGAGACTCCTCCTGCCTCAGCCTCCCGAGTACTAGGATTACAGGTTTGTGCTACCAGGCCTGGCCTGAGTTGCCTCTTTTTTTTTTTCCTCTTCTTTTTTTTTTTTTTAAAAAAAAAAAACAAAAAAAAAACAGGTCTCAGGGGCTATAGATATTGCTCAGGTGGTAGAGTGCTTGCTCTTGGGCACCAAGTTCTGGATTTGATCCCCAGCACCACATAAAACCAGATGTAGTGCATACCTGTTATCCTAAGTACTCTTAAGAGGTATTGGGGAAGGAGGATCAGAGTTCAAGATTATCCTTGGCTCAGTGAGTTTGATGCCAGCCTGGGCTACATGTAGATCAAGCTGGTCTTGAACTTGATCCTCTTGCCTCAGTTTCCTGAGTCCTGAGATTTGAAGTGTATCCCACTACATTTGGTCAGGTTGTTTTTTAAGGGGCATAATCTTTAACTTTCTTATTGTTGAACTGACTAAATGAAAATAAGTGCATAAGATTTCCCTTTAAATACACCACACACACACACACACACACACACACACACACAATGCACTGAGTCCACTTAGTGGCTGCTGAGCCTTTGATTCTTAGATTGTCTAGTGTATGTATGGAGGGGCTGAGAACAACACTAGGATTAAAATAATTGCTTTTGGCTATGTAAATAGTGACTTGCTTTTATTTTATAACCGTCATGGAAAACTTATGTTGTCACATTTCCATAGATAGTTTCCCTTATTCCATTCATGTGTCGGTCATCAATTTCCTTGATTCTGTTACTCTGCTCAGCAACACAAGGGAAATAATTCCCCAGTGTAGTAGTTAATAAGACTGAACATACGGTGTGCAGGTTATTTGGTCCCATTTTCTTTTTGGCACTTGCCTTCATCCTGAAACTTGTGTTTTATAGGACGGATATTGTCATTGTGGTTAGGATATGTTTGTCTTGAAAGTTCTTCTTCATAAGCCCATATTAAGTGAACTCAGCAAACTGAAAATCTCTGAACAATTTATAAAACAGGAAGATAAGGTCCACAGTGAATGAGTATTGTAGCAGTTGAGAGGGTTTCTTGTGTTCTTGGAAGTGGATGATAGCACAAGAGAGAAGACAAGGATTTCAGAGAAGTTCAAACCTAACAGTAAGGCTGCAACCTGTGCACCTCACCTCACTTACATTACTGTGGGTGATGCCATGTTCAAGCAGACTCCATATTTTTCTTGGCACACATATTTACCTTGTACTGGCTTTGTTGCTGTCAGGAGAGAATGAGTTGAGCCATGTTAGCGCTTTCTTGCCCTGAATTGTTTAAGCTCTTGGTTTGGTTAATTATAGATTATTGAAATGAGTGTTTTGGATAGACACATGGGAATGTGGGAGCAGTGTGACTCCCTTGCCAGTTAGAAAAGTTCAGCCTGGGAGAGTGTTCAGTAAGGCAATAATTGGCAGTTGGACCCTAATAATAGTTAAACTATTAATTGGTCTTTTATGTGCCAGAAATTGTCATAGGCATTTCTGTAATCTTGACAAGATCACTCTGACATATCGATGATATTATCTCAGTTTTACCAAATGAGGAAGTGTGGTCCAGAGAGACCAGGTGCCTTGTCCAAGGTCATACATCTGAAAATGGCAGTAGTTCTGAGAACCACCTGTCTCTGTAGCCCGTGTCCTTTTCATTATGCCACACAGTCTTTCTAGCCTCTTAGATGTTGGCTTTTGGCCTTCGCCCAGAAAGTCTGTAGATTTCTGAGTAAACTCTTAAAGTTTGTCTGTCTGGCTAAGGCTTAGGTCATCCCAAGACAAAAGGAGAGTGAGTCAGGCTTTAGGAAGAGGATTATAGAAAACAGTATAAATGTAGAACCTCAAAAAATTGTAAAATTAGAGGCTATGAAGGACATTTTTACAGAAGCATTTCAAGATCAGCGATATTAGCCTTATGTTTGTAATTAACTTGTAATCTGAGTCAAATGTATCCCTCCTCCCTTCTCTTTTGAGGTAGTCTCACCATCTGTTTCAAGTTGGCCTTTAGCTCTATATGCAGCCCAGGCTAGCCTCAAATTCCAGATCCTTCTATTTCTTCCTCCCAAGATTATATGCATGTGCCATCATGCCCAGCTTTATCCTTATTTTACAAGTTACAAATCTGAGTACCTGTGGAAGGTTTTCCTCCTTTCTGTTGAGCTAACAGTTTTTTTTTTCCTGTTACCTGCCTTCTCTGTGAATCATCTTTGATTAAACCTTCTGAGAATTAGAAAGGGACATATAATATACTGCTAGATATTCTTGCTTTGTATCAGGTCTTGTACTCTCACAACTTGACATGTACTGTTTTATTTAAGAACCCTTAAAGTGGGGGCTGGAGAGATGGCTCAATAGTTAAGAATACAGGTTGTTCTTGCAGAAGTCCTGGGTTTGAATCCTAGCACCCACATGGCAGCTAACAACTCTCCATAACTTCAGTTCCAGGGGATCCAACAGCTTCTTTTATCCTCTGTGGGCATTGTACAATACAGGTGCACTTACATGCAGGCAAAACATGCGTACACATAAAATTAAAAATAATAATAATAAAGAACCCTTAAAGACAGTGTTACTGAGGAATCAGAAATTAAAAAATTTGTCTCAAGGTTACACAGTAATGTAATGAA